AACAAAATTAGAAGCCAGACTGGAGCCACTTTAAAAGTTGCCCCCTTATTGAATAATTCTGTCGCAGTTATTTTTTCCTCTTATCACCATTTATTCTCATTTTGGGGCTGGTCTAATAGGGGAGGTTCATATATAATAATAGAGGAGGTTCATTTGCTCTCCCCCTCCTCTTTCCAGTGGCTAGTCTTTCTGCATGGATTTCATTTCTCCCTTGTGAAAAGACATTGGGATAAATAAAACAATGATGCAGTACTAGAGAGGTCCATGTTAATGGGACCACATCACGCTCACCTTTTCCATGACCTGCCCTTTGCCGTATGAAAGGAGTTAATCAAATGGATGAAATTCCTATTTCATCCCTGCCTGATAGCTACAGGCATCAATTTATCAGGTGTGGAAGAAGAAAATGCAGCACAGCTCTTTCCCTAAAAGCAGTGCCGTGCAGAAGCAGAAGCCCGCAGGAAGTGCTGGGGCGGTTTGGGAGCGCCATCTCCCCTCTAGCGAGGTCTGCGCAGAACTGATGGAGAAAGGGAGGCAAGAGCCTCGGCTTCCCAACCGATGGAAGAAAGGAGGCGAGAGTCTCCCCTTCCCTCCCTGCTCCTGCATCCCTGCCCCACGTGGCTGACAGTGCAGGCACGGAGATACTGGAGTGGCAGGAATGCACAGCCCCAGCTGGGAAGTGGCTTGTGCTGAAGGAGCCAGGGGAAATCCCGTTGTAGTAATTTGCCTATTAATTAAAGATGTGACTTGATGAGAGGTTGGATTCTTTCACCTGCCTGAATTTTCATCTGTTTCCAGATATTGCCAGGATAAAAATTAATGCATTTTGTCACTAACCCTTAATCATTTTAGCAAAAACTATTTTTAGAACCCTCGTAAAACATATCTATAGCCATTCTACAATAGGCAAACACTACTGTATGGTTAACAGTTGTTGTCTCACAAACTGCTGCTGAAATCTGCCAGTATTCAAATAAAGCAAAATAATTTATGCAACATTTTGGTGACAGCTGCCTCTGTGACACACCTGAATTCTTGTTTTCTGTGAACAAGGCACAACTCTAACTCACTCTAGGTACCAACTCAGACTTTGCTGACAGCAACCATGACAGGTGCTACACAGCCTGGAAGCTGTTTCAGGGTGATACACGACGTCCCAGCAATGTCCTTCCTTGTGCAGTATTCCCATGCCCACTGGAATGGGGGCTGAAGCACGGGCGATCTCCATGAAGGTAAGTTGGGTTGGATGGGGCTTTGAGGGTTGAAACCAGATTATCTTAGAGGTTTCTTACAACCCCAACCTATTCTGTGTTCTACATTTTGTTGAATCCCAACTGCGAGACCTCCTGCCTGGCCAGGCCTCTTGCAGGGCACAGAGAGGGGCTGAAAGTTAGAAAGACTCAGTGCTAGGGGACGAGCCAGCTGGCAGGTTAGCTCCTCACTTTTGTCTGTGCCTTGCCTGCACTCACCATTAACCTGCAAATTTCCTTTGTGGAAAAAGCCACGTATTCCCAAAGGCTTCAGCAGCGAGCAGACTAACTACTGGTGGAATGCTTGGGTAGAGGTGTTTAAGATGCTCAGGAGGCTCAAAGGTTTCATCCTGCAGCTCAGGCAGCTAGACGCAGGGAACTAAACTGTGAGTCAGGGGTGTGCAGCAAGCGGAACTGAGAGCATCACAGTGCTCAGGCCCTGCAAGCCTGGAAACAAACCAGGGCCAAGGGCTGGACGGGGCTCCCCATCCCACCACTCTCAGGAATCATCCTGGTGCTGGTCCTTCTTCCCCCATGCATGACCCCACTACCGGAGTCTTCCTTCCTGTGTCTGCAGAATGGTTATTTTCCTTAACCCTGTACTCATCAAAGCATCTACAGGGGGTATTCATGAGGCAAAACTGGCCACCGGTGCACGGGCCGGCACAGGGGCTCAGTGTCCAGCAGGACAAGCTGAGGGAGATGAATCCTTGTGAATGTTGGGGAAACATGAGCGATAATCTCCTTTTCAGAGGGGTTCTCTAGCTCGGGGATTTGCATCCACTGAGCTGTTTAGCCTCCATTTTAGGTTTGAGCTCTGAGTGAATGCAAGTATTTTTAAATAAAAGTTAAAGCAGAAAGGCAGCTGGATATCAGGCAAGCATTTAAATATGCTACAAAGGAAGTGATAGCCGCACCTTGCTCCACAGACAGCTCCAGTCATTTACACATCAAGTAGGTGAATGTAAGAGTGCAGAAATAGACCTGTAAATATATGGATATCCTGTTTTGCAGTAGTTCATTTTCAAAGCACATCTACTTCTTAGCATATATTTCGGGTCACACTCCACTTCACAGCCCTTGCCCTGCTTTCCAAAACTAGCTGTTTCAGTTTGCTAGCCTTCCTCTACAAGTGAAGCATAAAATGCAAGTAAACACCTAACTTGTAGTGTTGTCACCCCTTTCATCTTGATGTTAATTACTAATGCAAATTATGCACATATCTAAAAGTGTCTTAAGTTCAGAGCAGTACATTCTTGCTACTTGTGTTTCTTATTTTTAAAATATATGTGGCAAATATTTCCAGATTTTATACTTCTACATTCCCCTGACCACGTCCAAACCTTAAGGTAGAATATCTCTGTGATCACAAGGCAAAAAGGCAAACTGGAACAGAGCCAAGGCCCTCCACTCCTCTTGTGAAAGATGAATTTATGCTCTTCAGTGGCAAGCCTTGTTGTACACTGTGATTTTTCACCTTACCTCAGGCAGTCCAGTGACCCCCTACCTCATGTTTTGCCATCAGCTCATTTTTGATTTGTGAGAATACAGTTTGTCGTGATTTCTTGAGCGCTGCAGGAGACAGCCATTCTTTAAATGTTTCCCATCTGAGTCTTGAGTTAAGTGTCCAGTTTGGGAAATAGCACTCAAATTCAGAGGACAAGCCTTAGTCAAAGGAGGGATACCAAAACTTTACAGTGTCCCATATGGCACAGATCCAAGCTCTCCAGCCAGACTTCCCTCTAGTTGGTGCTGCAAGGCATATTCCTTGCCCTGGTAAGCTGTGTTACTCTGCACGCTAGGCATCCCACCAAGCCTTTCCTTCGCCATTTCCCTTATCCTCATCCACAGCTGAACTAGCTCTTGAACACTGCCACATGTCCGCCTTTTAGCTGAATTTTGCTGTTTTCAGCTGCCTTGTTCCTTTCTAGCTCGCACTGCTTCTTGTGGAGTACACTGTCATTCCAGTTATGTGTCTCTGCTCTACACACTGGTCTGTCCATCACCTGCCTGAAAACCTGAAGGCTCCACGCATCTTCCTCTACTGACACTAACAGCAGGAAGCAGTTGCGGCACAGACCTGTGTCCTGTTCCGATCTTACCAGTCCCACTAAAACGTGTCTCTCTCCAGCTACCTTTAGTGCCTCACTCTTTCACAAGTTTGATTTGTGTTTCCTACAAAACATAAATCTCCAGATGAAGGCTTCTGGCAACATTAGTGTGCTACCACGCTTAAGCACTGCAGGATGGGTTGATGGTGACCTGGCCAATGTGAAGGAACCCAACAAAATGACAGATTAGGGAGGAGCCCCTAAGAAATTACCCATTTAAACAGGAGTTGACTATTAGCCTTAGGCTTCTGGAGATTCACATTTGACTGACATTCCAAGCAAAACAGGCATTCCTGAATACATGTGACCATACGTTAATTCCCGATGTTTTTATTGTATTCAATCTTGTTTTAACCCCAGTGAAAAAGCTGAGTAACTGTGATTTGGAAGGGCTGGGAATTTAAGGACAACAATGCGGACCACAGATAGCCTTTCAGACACAGACTGGCACATCAGTTCAGAATCAGTTGTAGGAATCTTCATAGAATCATGGAATGTTCTGAGTTGGAGGGGACCAACAAAGATCATTGAGTCCAGCTCGTAAGTGAATGGCCCCTATAGGGATCAAACCCACAACCTTGGCATTATTAGTACTGTGTTCCAACCTTATAAATATAACTTAAAAAGAAATGCCAGCATTGATTTAGTCTGAGTGAAACTAGATGACGACATTTCTCTTGTTTGGACCCATTTTTCCAAGCTCAACATGTATGAATTCACATATTCCATTTCCATTTCACAATCAGATACAAACAGGGGCTTCCTTGTGATGGTTGTGAATGTTTTATTATAGAGCCTTATCAATAAGTTCTCTGAAAATCAGTTTTTTAGAACTAAAATCTAATCTGGCAGGGTTCAGTAAGTAACAAGATGAACTCAGCCATGCAAACAAAATATTACTAAGTTACTTTAAATAAATTTTATCACAACAACCTCAGGAAGAAGAGCATGTCCTGGAGGCTTAGGCTGTTAATCTTGCATTTTTATTAATATTTTGGATTCTTTTTGTTATGCTCTAGCCACTGGTACACAGTTGTCTTCATTTTGATGCTAGAACGGGATAGATCTTTGGGTGCTTTTATGACTGTAATTCTTGTCTCATTTTATAGTGCTGCAATAAAAATAGCACCATCAGATTTCAGTGCTCACCGCAGTACATTGAAGCAACTGGTCATCGCACTGAAACAGAACTTCTAGGGAAACTGAGATTATTCCTAGACAGTAATTGCTCGCAAAAGGTGTAGCTCCTAAGTCTTATCAGCACGTGCCGTTCATTTTCTGTTCAGCACCTCCTATGACATTTATTCCGGTAATTTGATCAGGCTATGTTGCATGCAATAGGATATGAAGAATTCTATCTTGACCTTCAGAGCAGGATTTAATACTGCCTGGAAGAATACCAAGAATCATTTTCCTTGTACATACAATCAACATTCTGAGCTTGCAGCTACTTGCTGACAAGCGCTCACCAGTTTCAGTTCAATACATGTAAACCTAAGAACATTGAGACATTTGAAAATAAGCATTACCATATTTTTAATGTATTTGTATAGTTTAGCTCAACTTATTAATAACTCTTGATTTCCGGGACTTAATTGCACATAATTTTTACAAAAGCAATATCTTCTCTTAACATTCATCAAATATAACACATAAGATTTATTGTGCAAAACGTAAGCAATAAGTCTTATTAGTACAATAAGCTGAAAAAGCAAGGGATATTTAAAACAATATTCACATGCGGCGTGAGATTTTTATCTCTACTTCCAACTTTTGACGTGGAATCTGGAATTCCCATCAGTAAGTGCTATCCGAAAATACCAACAGTTTGTTTCACCTTTGATTATTTGGAGGAGACTCAAAATTTATTTTGTGCATTAGATTTTTACACACAACTAAAACAGGTGTTTGAGTTGATAAATACAAAATAAGACACTGGTATGGATGAAAAAACCAACACGCTGAAGGCATCCACCTAAATGGTGGCATGACTGATAATTTATAGCTTATGTTAAAAAATGGAATAGATACTTCGGATTTTCCATTTTTAACTCAAGATTTTAGCAAATAACCCAAAATTTTGTTTTACAAATCTGGCATCTGCTGATTGAAAAAGTAATTTAATTAAATACTTCATTTTAATTAAAATCTTTAGCTTGCTAGATATTAAATGCTACCAGTCAAGGCAGTCACAAAATCTGTTTGATGTTTGCATAGCACCATATAGATAAATATCTCCTTTAGAAAGAGAGACTATGTTTGGCTGGGAACATAATCAGAGTATTTCCTGAATATTTTAGGTATCTTTGCCTTCCACACCATAAATATATACAACAATTCCTTAATTTGAGAAAAAAATGCAGAGAATTCCATTCAAGCTTTAACACGGTGCTATCATTAATTCAAAATCTCTCTACATAAAAGTATCAAGAACTCTTCAGCAGTCAATTCAATATTCAAAAACAGATCAATAGTTTTATGTAAACTTGTTATAAAAAAACCCTACCACATAATTTGGCTTTAAAGTGACAAAGTATTTTCCTTAATATAACTTACTAGGCATGTGAAGAATTAACATCAAACTATAATTGAAAAAGATGCAGAGACTGGACTATCTCTAATATTGAAACACTCAATTAAAATATATAAAGAATCTCCAAAACACGTAATTGTAATTCGTTACAGTGGTATTGTTCATTCCAGTAATAATCCTTCCTACAAAGAGGCTGCATGTTAAATAAAATACACTACCCTGTTCTAGTTCCCAATTAGAGAACACCGATATTCTCCCTCTGCCTCCCCCTCAGCCCAAATTTACTAAAAAGTAGACTAAGTTTTCTACCAAAGGAAATGGGAAATATGCGCACTATCCAAGTGGCCATTTCCTAGCCCTAATCAAAATCTTATCAGCTTATCTACAATTGTTAGGTTTAGACTAGTAACAAATCTTGCAGTAAAGTGTTAAAAATAGGTGGAGTAACTAAAAAGCCTTCTTCTGTGTTTTAAATCACTGAAATTTACAAATCAAAATACTTATGGAAGCATGAGTGCTGGTGACATCATCGACTCTTACAAACTGAGTCTTCCGTAAAACTTGCACAGGTGGAAAAGGATACCTTGAGATGAATGGAAATAAAATTCAACAGAAGATAGATTTCCTAATATTGAGCCTCAATTTCTTACAAACTAACAAACATACTTCAGTGACAGACACTGCTTGTTATTTTGGCCCCATCCCTCTTACAAAATCAGCTTCATAAGCTGTTGTCACTCCAACTGAATAAAAAAACCCAACTCTCTTAAAACATTGTATATGGAGTTTTGCGTTCAAAAATAAAATACATATGAGTTTTCATATTCTTGCTATGAAACATCAACTAAAAAATATGAACATTCATAAAGAAACCAAATTGCATTTTGTACATTGTATCTATATTGATACAGTTCTCTCTGTTGGAGAATTCAGCATTTTTAGAGTTCAACGTGTGCAAATTTCAATTAAATTTTGAAGAAAATTCCAGTTTCAAAAGTTACATGTAATTTTGCATCTGACAGGTCAATAATCTCAAAAAAAGCTGTACAAAGTTAGCTTCAAGCCTCTTCATTCCCCCCAAAATAGGCACTCAGTGGTTTAAGTGTGCAAATAGCTTCTTAGAAGAAACAGTGTGCAAACAGAGCCTGTCCCATTAGCTCCGCATTCTTTAGTGATTTCCTAAAGTATTGCCATTAAATGCTATCTACGGTATGACTTTCTAAAGAACAGAAGACAGTCAGTCCACAGAATCACAGATATCTTTCACTTTCTGATTGAAGTCCTCAGGTTGATCAGCATACACATAATGACCTGCACCGAGGATAGCCTAGAAGACAAAGGTGAAGAAACAGGTCAGATTCACAAAAATGTAATAAACAAATTAATAAATACCCGGATAAGGTGAAGAACCCGACTTTTACACATTACCCAGGAGTTGCCATTATACAGCCTACAAAAAGACTCTAAACATAAGGAAGGCAAAAATCTTCTTTCCCCTGTGAAGGACCTTTGGTACATAGGAAAAGAGGGTAAAATTACTGCTTATTCAGTTGCACACCTTGTTAAAAAAACCACACCATTCAAGCGGGCAGAAGTCACTGCAAAGCAAACTTAGAAGAACGTGCTTTGCAACATCAAACTTCTGATGCATCTGCACTCCCTTCACTTTCCGCTCAAATAGTTCTGCCAGGTTGCTCACTAATCCTGCAAGTGTTTGCATTAGAGAGAGCATCAAGTCATTTGGATTTTCTTATTATAAAAGTGATACAGAAGAGACTGAAGAAGGTACTGAGATAAATGATTAAGAACGCAGAAGCTTAAACTGCTGGGGATTTTCTAGACTTGTGGAAGCAGATTTCAAGCCTCCAAATTAAAGACTACTATGTTAAACAGAGACAAGTAAAATCCAAATGATGCAATATTTGGGGGGAAACCTCCCATTTGCGAACTAGATTATTTCACAGCAATTATGTAACAAAATAAAAGATTTAAGAAAGCATTACTTCTATAATTTGTTATTCTCTGTAAAACTGCTACGAGGCCATCACCATAGTGTACAGCAAAGATACTTGACCTATTTTCCTTCCATTTTACAACTGATCCAAGACTAATATGTATTTAAAACTATTTTCCCTTCCCTCCTTAAAACACTCTCTCTTAAGTCTCTAACTGAATCCCATAAATGTATAGCTATGTTATTGTGTTTAAAAAACCCAGAAACTCAAAGTAAAAATTAATTAGAAATAAACACATATAATAAACCCTCAGGACCTCTGTGCATTTTACAAAGCATGGCACTTCCAGTCCGTGTCTTGGTCTCATTAGAGCCCTTTCCACCCTGTGGTTTTTTGACTGTCCCTGCAATTTTTACAGCTCCAGTTTACTTTTTAGAATCTGTATTTGGCTTGACAAAATTTTAACCTGGAATACAATAAAGTTATCCACAGTCCTTTCTAAAAGCCATTGACCAGAATGGAAAAAATCTGCCTGAACAGTATATGCTCATCCCAGCAATATATTGTATACTTTTTAACAATGACTTTTTGTTTCAACTCCCTTTGTGCTTAAGCAGTTAAGGGACAGTTTCAATCCAAATGTTAACACTTAGGAAATTTATTTGTGCTCTTTAACACACTTAAACAGTTCAATAACAATGTCTTTTCTCTGAGTTCCAGCTCTGATGTCAACTGTATCAAGGTATAAAATTTAACTTGAATGAGTTGTTATAGTATACTATCAACATTGCATATTGCCACTTCTGTCCAGATAGTTCTAGACATCAGTAAGATGACAGCTGGTGTGTTCAAACATTTTATCACCTCACAGCACTGTAACATATATGCATATTCAATTATCACAGCTGACTGATGTGAAAATGTGTGAAGAGTACTTTTAAATTAATTTGTTTTTATAGAAATAAAAAAACCCACAGTGTGCACATTCCCATCAACTTACAAGTACACACATTTTAATATTTTTCTAAACAAAAATGCATTTGCTAGGAAGAAAACATTAACTATTTTTTAATGACTTAGAGAAAGACGCTTACAAGAACCTAAGCACAAGGTACAAACCACTCTTACTAAAGAAACAAAAGCATTATATAGACAGGTGAGAAGAGTTTATGAGAGCCTCCCTATTATGTTATACATATATGCAGATATTATGACTGCTGTGGTTTAAAACAGACAAAACCTATGACTACAAAACCTACTTGTACTAGCACACTGTAGAACAAAATAAAGAATGACCTTGCTCAAAGATCTAGTTTGGCTTCTAGTGCTACAGTGAGTTTTCTTCTTACTCTGGGAACTCGACACTTTTGTCTAGGTTTTCTCTGATCTACAATTTGTTTTCTCTCTCCCTGTTACAGAAAACAGGAGTTATTACCCCAGGATCTAAATCAAAGGGAGAGCATTTCCACAGTTGATATGAAAAACAGAGAATCACAGAATGGTTTGAGTTGGAAGGGACCTTAAAGATCATCTCGTTCCAACCCCGCTACCATGGCAGGGACACCTCCCACCAGACCAGGTTGCTCAGAGCCCCATCCAACCTGGCCACGTAGATATGACTTGTTTAAGTCCACACAATAAACAAACAACTGCTTTAAAAGTCAACTTACTATTGTCTTCACATATGAGTTTGGTCTCAGAGACTGGATAGTACTGCCAGAATTACCATCGATACACGAACGTGCTCCATAGACCACAGTGATAGGAATGTCTTGATCCATTTGTGAAATCCGTTGCAGCATTGGCCTTTTTGCCCATCCATAGGGAATAGTCATGTTCTTGAAAGCTGTTTCACCACTTCAAGCCATTGAAAAGGGCAAAAACAATTCAATTTCCATTGGATCTGCTTTTTATCTAAATTGGGGTATCTGTGCCTTTTGGTAGCACAGAGTACACAAGGCTGGGATTTTTCACAATTAAGAAAAATAAATTTTCCAGGTTTACATGTAATTTTCATCAGAAAGACCCCACATTTTTACAGGATTAAGTGATAAAAATTAAAAGAATGAAATGCCTTATTTTAAAAATTTTTAAAGAAATTCCCTATACATTAAACTACTGTAACAATTTTTTAATTAAATTAGTGCCCCAACTCTCACAGAATTAACACAAGTTAACAGGAAATATAGAAATAACAGAGTTTTTAGTAGTTTCTTTATCAGTTTCTGGAATTCAGGAGAAGTGCAATGCTATCTTTTTGTTCAACAAAGTAAATGCTACAATTAAAAATAAAATAGCATGCACACTGCTGCCATGGCCATTGGAGGGAGTAGCAGGCACTTGGCAAATGAACGACAGACTTTGAAACATGCACTGGGAAACTCATACTCACCTGGGTGACTGTACATTGCAGTGATAGATATATTCAGCCACAGTGTTATCATCAAACATCGATGAATATTTTCGCTTGAAATCTGGTCTTAAACGCTGAACAAGGCTTAACCCTGTTAAAACAGAACACTATTAGAGAAGGGAGTTTAGACGACATTATCAGATTGCTTAATGCTTTTCATTACAACCCTCAAAACATGTCCCCTTGAAACTCATGGCTAAGCTCAGTGACTTCTAAACTAGTATTTCATTTTAGCACTTGCATGTCGCAGGAAAACACGATGGCATTATGCCAGACAGGAACGAAATATAAATACTCTTAAGGATTTTATGCTGCACCCCCCGCTGAATACATAACAGGGAGTACTTGAGAAGGGTCACTGCAGCAATAGAAGAAAACTACAAAGGGGAACCAACAAAAGGGCTAAGTAGAGTATCTTTTTGTCACTAGTTTAGTCTCACATGATACCAATACCTTCTCCTTGCTCTGGCAGCACCGAGTGGGCCAAATGCATCATGCCTTTCAGAACCAGAAGGCACTGTTGAAAAAGTCTGTCCTCTCCTATTACAGAACAGTCTACTTCTGAAGCTCATTCATTTAACTAGTGTTTAGTTGAAAAAACAGAAGTCTATGGTGAAAAACAGGTATAGAAATCTTGACGTAAGGTACAAGTACTGGTCTAAATTAAGCGATTTAATGTTGAAAACTATTGTCCTCATGCTCTCTTAACAGCCAAAGTAGAGAAGTGGGTCGTTTCAGGGGCCAGTTCAGGGCTTCTAAATTTAAGCTTCTTTTCTGAAACACTTCTTTAAGGAGGAAGTGTCTTCTAGTTGACCAGATGGATCTTTGGGACAAGAGCCTCAGCATAAGGCTAATTCTAGTCTAAGAATACTATTCATCCCTAATATCTGATCTAAACCTACCTCTTTCAGTTTTAACCCATTACCCCTTGCCCTATTGCTACATGCCCTTGTAAAAAGTCCCTCTCCAGCTCTCTTTTAGGCCCCCTGTAGGTACTGGAATGCTCCTACAAGGTCTCTCCAAAACCTTCTGTTCTCCAGCCTGAACAACCTCAGCTCTCTCAGCCTGTCATCACTGTAGAGGTGCTCCAGATCATCTTCATGTCCCTCCTCTAGACTCACTCCAGCAGGTCCATGTCCTTCATATGCTGAGGGCCCCAGAGCTGGATTCAGCACTCCAGGTGGGGTCTCACATGAGCAGAGCAGAGAGGGAGAATCACCTCCCTCAACCTGCTGGCCACACTGCTTTTGATGCAGCACAGGATGCATTTGGCTTTCTGGGCTGTGAGCACACACTGCTGGGTCATTTTGAGCTTCTCATCAACTAACACCCCCTTAGGTCTTTCTCCTCAGGGCTGCTCTCAATCCATTCTCTGTCCAGCCTGTACTGGTGCTTGGCATTGCCACAACCCAGTTGCAGGCTCCTGTGCTTGGCCTTGTTGTACCTCATGAGGTTCACACAGGCCCACCTCCTAAGCCTGCCCAGGTCTCTCTGGATGGTATCCCTTCCCTATGGTGCACTGATTGACTGCACTGCACAGCTTGGTGTCATTGGCAAACTACTGAGGGGGCACTCAATCCCCCTGCCCATGGTGCTGACAAAGACTCTGAACAGTGCTGATCCCAATACTGATCCCTGAGGAACACCACTCATCACTGGTCTCCACCTGGACGTTGAGCCTCTGTCCACAACAATGTGTGACCATTCATGGTTACATTTCCCCTTTTCCAGATGGCAGGAACTTCATGTTGTCGTTTATCTGTGCAATTATGATGATGTCACTTCTTCCCTCCCACCTCTGGCCAAAGGCCTGGTACTATTTATGTAGACCTTGTCACAGTGATCTATGCTTTTGTAATCTTGAGATTAGATACTGCAACACGCCCTTATGCACTCTTTAAACAGATTTAGAAAACTAATGCAGTGCAAGAGAAAATAATTCCCTTATGAAACAGTGATTTAACTCTCAAAACAATGAAGAGTTTGTAAAATCCTGCAACTCTCGCTGCTGTATTTTGCCTGCAGGAGTTCAGTTGCTGGACTTCTTTTTCTCTGTGTTGGGCTTTTTTGAACACAAATGATACAGCTGGCTTTGAATAAGAGTACCTGGAAGAAAGAGATTAACTCTGTGTCTTCCCCTGCTATCAGCATAAAGGTCATGGCATGAAGTGTTACCAAATTTTAGAATTCACTTTCCATTTTGATAAGAAGTGTTTCGTCTGTGGGTCCAATTGCAAAACAGTTCTTCTCTGGGAATTTACAGGGCAGAATGAAACAGAGATTTAAGGCACCTTGGAACAAATTTTGGAATGAAATCACACTGATTCATGCTTGTAATTTATTGAAGACACTCTTGTCTGGCTGATTTTCCACAGTGTCTATGGAAATGCTATAAGAAACACTAACATGGAAGACACCACGTTCCACAAAAAAGGGTGTGGTCACTGGGACATTTCCATTGTCCTGAGAAATTTTTATGTGTCCAGCTCTAGGAATGGAATTCACAAATCCAACCTAAGCACCAAACCCCCTATACTGTGAGCCTCTCGGGTGACTGTTCCAGTTAAGTGAAGAAAATTATGCAAATCATCTATCTGGAAACCACTCAAACTAAAAAATATCTCTGCATTCTGTTTCTCTCCCAGTTTTAATTATTTGCCTGCGGGTCTGATTGGTCCATGTGATACCATTACGATATCCCAATGAACCTGGCTCACATTTAAGCGCTTAACTCATACCTTTGAACAAGATCAACTAGCATTATAGTGAGGTTCAAACAACTATGCTTGACCAGCAGCTTAACCACATTTGCATGTAGAAGGAAAGCTGAGTTTGGTCCAGTGCTTTTATGAGGTTGGGTCTGATGCCTACCTTGCAGGATAGTGTTTAAACTTACCCTTCTCTAAGAACTATGCCTCACCTGTCAAGAACTGTGCATTAAGTTGATGACAGAAAATGTTTTTAACATGTGCAGTGTGAAATACATGAAAAATTTTTAAAAGCACTGCCCTTCCCAGCAACATATAAGCAAGGCTGAGTCTGGGGACACCTTGTCAAGACAGTGTCTATTTCTGCAGCATGGTTTTGAGTGCACTTATTGCTAAGGGAGACAAATTTCAGCTTTGAACCCTTCCACATGGATTGATTTATGCAAGTGCTTGTTATTGGATAAAAGGTATTAAATCAGTTCTTATCACTCAATATGCTTCAGGTTGTTTTGTTAACCAAATTAGCATTTTACTTTAAAAAAAATATTATCTGTTTGTACAAAACATGTTGCTTGTCTGAAAAGCTAATTTTGTCACATTCCTGACAAGAAACAAACAGATCAGCATATTAAAATATATATTCTATAGAAAGAGACTTAGGAAACAGATGTGGTTTAAATGTAAACAAAGCCTAGGAATCTCAGTAGTGTATCTTCAGACTGAATACTAAAAAAAGAAGAGGTGAGTTAATTATAACTCAGAAGAGGCCAGAGGGATATCTTTTTCCAAGCCTTTCCAGCAGATACTTCTGTAGTACACAGAGCAACAGACAGATAACCACTTTTTCCTCTAGAAAAAATTCATTTGATGACTTTAAGACTTTATTATGCCCTTCTCCTCACTTCTTAGATAGACTAATACCACAGTATTTTTGGTCATTCCTACCTAATCCTAGTATTAGGGTCTACAGAGTTTACCCAGCATCTCATCAGTGCTGTTGAAGAAACAGAACCATGCAGCATAGACTGCCACGGTGATGCAGGACATCAATGAAGCCCACAAGATTTGCTAGAGTAATAAGAAAATAACTAAATAGAAAGAACCAGTTTCAGTTTAACTTCTCTAAACTCGGGACAAACACAAATGAGTTTATATGAGACTGCCTTCTAATGTTAACAATTTGGAAATCTTGTTTGCCCATCAAACTGCAGTGAGAAGGGAAACAAAACAGACTGTGACCAGAGGCAATCAGAAGAAACCTTTTCACATTCAAGCCTCTCTGTCAGGGTTCCCCAACAGATGTCCACATAATCTGGCTCACTGTAGCTGGAGCCTACAGTCATATGCTGTAGCTTGTTGTAAACTATCGTATTAGTATTTCTAATAAGACCTTGCCCTCTTGTCCTCAAGAGTTCAAACTTTCCTCAACCACTCCCACCTTTCTCCAACTCTTTCTTCTGGGGGTGATACAGACTTGCTAGAAAGCTTATCATAATGTGCTATCTGCCCCATGTTTATGTTTAACCAAAATAGAAATGGTATTTAAGAGTATCTAAAACTCACCAAAGGGTCCTGCTATTCTTAGCCCAGCTAATGGATTAAACGGACTCAATATAGCTCCTAGTGCTTTGATCCAGATTGGAATTGGTCTTTCGTGTTCAGCATTGTCAGGCCTCTCTGGAAAACCCCATGGCTCCACTAAGATAAGATGCTTGACCCTGTTGGAGAAAAGGTAAAGAGATTTAAAGTACAGTAGTTTTTCTTCAAATGAGTATGACGAAAACATGCTGTTTTATAAATACATACATACAATGTGCTTTAGGCAGCTTTTCTTCAAATGAGTATGATGAAAACATGCTGTTTTACAGATACATACATACAACGTGCTTTAGTCATTTCTATCATACTGGCTTATTACCCAGTTTCTGATTTATCAATGGTTTTGATTTCAATTACTAATTGGAGAGTGAATTTCACCTAATCACGTGTACAAACACCAGGAACTTGGACGCACGTGTCACAGAGAGAAAGTCAGTATTCAACAGATACTCACTGTCACATACATTTGAGAAAAAGGATAGTCTTGTTTCTATTTTTAAAAATAGCCTAATCCACATGCTCAGTCAGTATTATTTGCAGGAGCAGTTCAATTTGAGAGAAAAGAGGATAACTGCATCTGTTTCCTTTAAGTGAAGTTGCTAGACGCCTAAGATCTCTGTTCTAAGAAGAGACACAATTTAACTGAAAAATCATCTTATCGAAGTAAAATTTGAACTGAGAGAGGCAGGGCAAAACTTGCAGATGTTTTCTAAATTCATTGACTTCAGGTTATGAAAGAAATGTCAGAGGCAATTTGTAAAATTATTACTCAAAGGAATCTCAGTGCAAAGAGCATAGTAGGAGCCTCCAGCACATGCAACTATTGGTCGCTTCATGTTGTGGATCCCCCCTCAAGCAAAAACTCTATTTCATCTTGGTAGGTTAGAATCATCCATTTCTGTTTAATCCTACACTTACTCTAACTGTCCTAAATACTGATGATTTCTGAAAAAAAGTGACTCAACTATCATTTTGCACATTTAAGGTGATTTTATGTGGAAGCTTCATCATTAATGCTCTCTACAACTACCTATCAGGAGGTTGTAGCAAGGTGGGGGGTCGGTCTCTTGTCTCAAATATCAAGCAATAGGACATGAGAGAATGGCCTCAAGTTGGGTGAGGGGAGGTTTAGATTGGATATCAGGAAAAAATTTTTCACCAAAAAGGCTGCCAAGCATTGGAACAGGCTGGTTCAACCTGACCTAGTGGGAGGTGTCCTTGCCCACGGTAGGCGGTTTGGAGGTAGGTGATAATGTCCCTTTCAACCCAATCATTCTATGATACCCAAGGAAGTGTCTGAGTCCCTGTCTCTGGAGGTATTTACAAGATGTGTAGATGTTGTGCTCAGGGACACAGTTTAGTGGTGGACTTGGCAGTGCTGGATTAATGGTTGGACTAGATGATCTAAAAGGTCTTTTCTAACCTAATGAGTCTATGGTTCTATGATCTTTACTTTCTTCTTCATGGCTTCCTTCTTTTTCAAAACCATGAGATTAGATATTAACAAGGAAAAGTTCTTAGTACCTAAAATGATGTCAGAACTGATTCCAAAGGCTATTTCTCAACTATAATCAGTTGGGAAACCAGAAACCTGTGCTTGGAATGAAGGGTTGGAAAGGATTAACCTCACAAAGATGTTTCTTGGCTGTTGGCTCGGCTATTAGTGTATTTGCACCCTGCAGCAAACAACAGCATTAAGAGAGGATAGGGTATAATCTAACTGTACAAACGAAGCAGGAGAGATTAGAGGCAAAAGAGTGCAATCAATGAGGAGCCATTCAGGACAGCCACACATTCCGTGCACAAACTATGGCATTATATACAGCACAGTAAACACATGAATAAAAATAGATTAAGCTTTTTTTTCATGTTTCCTTCCTTAAAAATTTCCTTCCTACTTCGCATTTCTCCTTTTGGTAATCAAGCCTAAAACATAACTCAGGATAATGGGAAGTTGACCATGAGAACCACTCTAAAAGCAACAGTCCAGAAGTTGCATATTTGAAAATCATGACCCACCTCCACTAGGGAATATCCTAAATGGGTGTCTTTTTAGATTAGTAACCTCGGATTTTCCATTAACAACTCTGGTACAGTGTAGCAAATTAACAGACATCTATGTTTGGAGAAACAGATCTACTTCCCTAACAATATGTATCCAGAATCCCTTAAGCCTCTAATGCATTGTTAGATAATCTGGCTGAAAGCTGTGCTATATTTATCACTTGATTCAATGCTGTCTTAAGATCAAATTTGCCAATTTGACAGTGTTAGTTTAATTCAGAGAAACATTAGTAAAGTGAGAGCACAAACCGAAACACCCCCAAATTAATTAACCCCAACTTAAGCACAGTGAGGCATGAAAACAAAGCACCACTTTCAATGCAAGTCAGCAGAGGGGAGAAACAACATTCCATCCCATAGGGATTGGACAGCGCAGTTTATAGATTCTTTGAAAAACAAGGTAAGGAATTTGTAAGCAATCTCTATGAATAACTAACTACAGCTAGCTAGAAGTTGTTTTATGCCCAAAAGGGTAATAGGTTTACATTCCTTAAGCAGAAGATTGCATTTCTTCATTGCAATTCTGGATTTTGACATCTACTTTCACAGGTCATTTCCAGACACTTGTGCTAACTGTTGTCCACTTAAAAAAAGATGAAGCGTTTTAGGAAAAAATGATGCATGAAATTATATCAAAAATATCCAAATAAGAAACAAAGAAATTATAAAACTTGACATGAATATAAAAGAATAAAGTATATTTTGTATAATATAAAATTTCCCATAGGATGTGGAAAGCTAAGCTTACATTCACAATTTTTCACAGGAGCCCACTATGTGTATCCCAGCAAAAGCATTGTCTTTTTTTAATACAGAGTTACCTCAGTTGGTGGGATCCTAGCTCACCAGGGGATATATAACCAGATTATATGAAAGAGATGAATTACTACTTTAAGGGGGAAAAAATGTATTAGCTGTTGGCCATGATGTGCTGCAGAAAATGCTGATGAAATACAATTAGAGAACTGCTGCAGTTGGGTTGTTTTGTGAAGGAGGAATATGAATGGCATACAGACAATTTAAATCGAACAGTCACTAAAATAATTTTTATACCATCGTGCTGGCACCAGGCTGACTGCTAGCATATAGGCACAAATTACCTGGGAGAGTAACATTCAGAAGTCTCAGTGTGAACCATAATAGTGGGAAGTTTGGCAGAAACAGCCCTATTTTCCCTTCACAAAACAATGTTTAATCAGAGATGCCACAAACCATTCTCCGGTAAATATATTCATTGCCATTTTTAACAGGGCAAAGGGGTACTGAACAAAAGCAAAGAGGTACCGACAAGTACACAGAAAATCGCGTTTCCCAGATCTACCTATTTCTATTCATCTGAAAACAAATCATACAATTAGTACTCTTTTTTTTTTAATGTTTAGAATTCAGGATCAAGTTTCTTTAGATCAGCATAAAGAATACCTATAAAGAGCCTGATTAAGTAAAATCTGTGTTTAAATCATTAGTCAAATACAGAAAAGGAATTCCTTCATTCCTTTATTTTTACATACCTTGATGGGTATTTTAATGAGTAAGCAGCAGCCAGGAATCCACCTAGGTTGTGCCCAAGTAAAATCATTTTTTCTAACCCCACCTCCTTTCTCCATTCTTCTATGGATTCCACAAACTGATTTTCTGCTTCCCGAGCATCAGTGTCAAAGTGTGGTCTACTGCTACGTCCAAATCCCAGGAGGTCGAAAGCGTGAACGGTCCTGTTCTCACAGAGATCTTCAAAGTTGAGAGCCCATAGTCCAACACCTCCTCCAAACCCATGCAGGAGAACAAGTGGAGTTTTATTTGAAAGGTCTGGAGAGAATGTCAGTGTCCATATTTTATTTCCCTTAGATATATACACGTATCGTTTATTGTATATGCTTGCAATACCTGAAGAAAAAAGTGGGGGAAAAATGATGTTGCTACACAGGCCTGGTAAAATATGAAGTACACTCTATGGAAACCACTGCTTTAAATAGGAGCTCCCTTTCAAAGGGGAGAGACTCTAATCAAGCATCTTCATAAGGGAATAAAAAAATGTAACTTTAAACCTGTTTATTTCATCCCAATGTAAAAGCCATATTGAAAAACTTCTCTGATTATATGTAAATTTATAGAAAATCTACTTGTATCTATGAAACTTATTAAAAAACCAAAGACTTACATTTTAGCATTTTATCCTCAGCCTCTTTAAGGTGCAGCAGCGATGTGGGACACCAGGCAGGAAGCCACCTGAATAACCATCCTAACCTGCAACAGCAATACAGAATAAAAATGTCTTGAGCAACATAGTAAGTTTTGGCACCATTTGATGCTTTGAAGACATTTCTTTTGCTGCTCCTCACAAGAGAACCCATGTAAACCACACGCTATGAAGAACAGGAGTGTGCAGTGGGAGGGAATTCTCTTTCTCCTGACTTTTATAAAGTGGCATCACGATCAGGGGCATTCTTCAAACAGTGTGCAGTTTTTCCACTGTGTGCTCTTATCAGAGTATGCTGATCTGGAGACATCAGCCCTCACGCCAACCTGACGAGCCTGGCAGGATACATAACATAATCACTGGAGTTTCCAGCCTCCTCTTAAGTTCCTTTGGAAATCTGCCTGCACACCCATTACCTTACGTGAACCTATTACTTCCAAAAAAAGCAATGAACTGTGCGCTCGCCAGCCTAACCTGAACTGATTAATATACTAAATTTAAGAAGTGAAAAATAAGCAGGTCTATCCTAGCAAAGCAAAAATCTAGGACCGTAATTACAAACTTAGAAACAAAGTCCCAGAGGAAAACAAACCTGCAATTCCCACAACAGAAGCTGCTTTTCCAGCTGTCAGTTACTATCTCAGTAGCGCTAGCTTGACCATGAGAGCAGGGGGAATGACTCAGCTAGCAGCACTGTCTCACCCACAGTGCTGCAAAGGACACAGCAATTTGGTACAGCTTTTACTGTGGGCTAATTTATCCCTTGTTTTTATGATGGAATATTCTTTTTCCACCTCACACCTGGTTTTGAAGTGGCTCACGCTATCAGGGCAAAGGTTACTAATGCAGGACCCCAGAACATTCCTTATAAGGAAGATGATAAGTCACCAAATTCACAATCAGCTTTCTCTAGCACTCTTCCTACGCTGAACTGCTTTCCAGTAAGTTACAGAATTTTCAGGACTGAACACTGCCTGTACTAGTTATACAACGAGTAATATTGAAAGACTATTAGCTTACTAATGTCCAATTTTTCAGAGTGTGCACAACACATCAAAAATAAATTAAAGATCTGCCCCCTCCCCCCCTCATTCTTTATCCAAAGGATGTTCACCCCACATTTTAAGGGGTTGACATACTCCAGCTGCATAGCTACTAATTTATGACACCACATGCAACGTTTTCTGGGGATGCACAGTGCAACTGCAAGAAGCACTGTTCAGATTCACAGAAATGTATTAGGGGACATAAAAAACCCCAACCCAAACCATACCTGACCAAAAACGACGAATCATCCAATCACCTAAGCCCACTGCTATTCAGTATTATTTAGTCCTCTGCTCTAATGTCTGGCAGTCCTGTTAAACACCTTCCTGATCCACCAGACCATGGGATCCATTATAATGAGGGACCATGGGAATTGTTATAATCATTATGATTGAGGGACTGGGAAGGTGTGATTGTACATCCTTCCATGCCATGTCCTCCTGAAATCTAAGAAATAAAGGAACTCAGCAGTTTACAGGAATAGGCATCCTAGTGTTTTGCTTCCATATTAAACTATGTATTTATTTAAAAGTAAGATTTTTAAGAGGTTAAAGCTAGGACAAGCCAAAAGTAATTTCATACCCAAGTAACCGTGAAATCTGAGTTTAACAATAACACTAATTGTGTCCAATGCTATGAATTACTCTGGTAAATTATTAAACAACAGCTAGATCACCACTCTTATGAGTCAAACTTTCTGTTAGTTATGTGCTCAGCTACGCATTTTCATTCTTAACTCTTAGGTCAGAAGCAAAAAACCCAGTCACTATCTTCCCCAAGCTGAAACTATATGAACTGCTTCCTCTCAGCAAAACCACTGATTCAACAAAGAGAACACTTTAAAGATTTTATTTATTTATTTACAGAAATATAAAGCTGCAACATGTCAACATGAAAACAGTGCAGAGATATGGCCACAGTGAAATAAAAATGTCATCTACATTTCACAGTCCCAGAATTATATTTCCCAGTCTTAGGAAGGCACCTGGATACTCAGAAAAATTATTTAGAAAATTATCTCAGAATGGGAAAGCTGTAATATAGATGCCCACTCTTTCTTTTGTTATAAATATTGTTTACAAATACTGAGATTTTAATTCAGAAGAGACATTGAGTACATGTATAGTTTGACAAACAGTTAGCAAGGCGAAACATTTATAATTAAAACTATGTTTGCAATTCTGTCATTTTTTACTTACTGAAGTAAAAGAGCAATGATGAAGGTTTTCTGTCAAAAAAACCCCAAGCACTTTCTAGAAACATTATTTTAGAAACAAAATATTTAGTTTTGAAGTATTCAAGACTTAATCCTTTGTTTCCATCTTTCCAAAAACGATTTACCACATATGGAGAATAAGCAACTATATCATCTATTTAAATCATTCTTCTGATAGCTTTGGAAGACTATAGTTGTATCACTTCTTTCCTACATCTATGTTAAATGTATTTTCTAAATGCACACAAGAACACCAATTGTTTACATGGTCTATCATTTTTATTTCTGTGATATAAAGCTGTAAGTGCTATATAACGTCAAAAAAGAAGCAATGGACCTTTCAAGACAGTGTGCTCAGCAGCAGTGGAGATGAGTTACGAAAGAAAAATAAAGATTTCAGCAGCAGTTTCACATTGTGAGTTACCAACTGCCAGAAGAGACAGATCCTACTCTGCTCTCATCACCCACCACATCCCTGACACTCTGTTCCACTCTGTCTTTTTACAAAAAGAAAAGTCAACAACAGAATCTTCTATTTTGAGCAGTTAAGAGAACCACTGGGGTTAGCTGCTTGCTATATCAAAAAGTGTGAAATAAATCTGGCAATTGACAGCCCACATTTTTATCATTTTTATACCAATTGTACTTATGGGAGTTACACATCAAATTACCAAGGCACATAACTAGTGGAACATAACCCATATATTTATGGCCACGTAGTAACAAAAACCAGCGTGCACATCCATGGTAAAATAAGCAATAACCAGTAGGGCAAAGCATTGCATAGGATGCTTTCTCCATCTTCTATTTGAGGTCAGTTACACTTTTCACAGCCACCTGAAAAAGTCTGGAGTAGGAGAGGTTGGAAAAATAAGAGGCCAGCAAGTAGGGCAGCTGCTGGCCTGCCAGGCATTCAAAGAAGTCACTCTCTTTGCCAAAAGAACTCCACACTCCTTGTAACACATCTCAGGAAGGAGACCAGAAGGCAAGGGAAAGCCCAGAGACACCCACCGAATGACCTCAGATACAGAGAAAGTCTAGGTGATTAATGTGGCACTGGAAGATTAGTGGAGACCATCAGTAGCCTATGCTGATGACCAAATACAGTAATAAATAATGCAAACAAAAGGAACACAGGCACAAACATCTGACAACCTGGAGCTGCAACAACTATGCACAAGGGCCAAACCAGCAGGCAAGACCTAACACGTTGGTTCGTTAGCGCAAGCGTTCTGTGCCCCTCATTGCAAGCATAAGAAAGGATAAAAAGAAAGAATTAAAAAAAAGATTTAAAAGCAGTTATTACTATATTTAGATATCTAATGAGAAAAGAATAATTGTATATTGTGTTAAATGTAGCTAAGGATAACACTGCTTTTCCTTAGCTGCTTGAATGTTAATTTGTTAATCTGAATCAAGAACTGTCACAGCACAGTTTGAATTGCCTGAGGGTAACTTTCAAAAGAACTGAGAATCAAGTGGAGGCAGAGGCATAGTGAACCTGACCCACCCATCCACCTCCACTAATTAGGTCAAACCTGATGAAGACTGTGGCAAATAGGTAACTTGGGTAGTACCATTCTGTCAGCTACATTAACCCTATTCAGTTTGATGAGAGCTGAATACATGCACGACAGCTGATGGATCTGTAGCCAGTTACAAATTTGACATACTCCACAAAAAGCTCACAAAAGCTTAGATAATATTAAAGAATTGAAAACATCTATTTTAACACTGAGGCATGTACTCAAACAGATGAACAGTCTCTCTGATTTCTGGTTTGTAATCTGGATTTTAAAAATGGAAGCTCTACCATACCACGATGTTCATCAGAATTTGCTTATAACTCTATGTAGGAGATATAAATATACAGAAATGGAGCTTATTTTCTCACTTGTCAAGCTTACAATTTACTTACATTAGAGTTATATGAATGCATGGCTTACAAGATGTATTAAGCCTGAAATCATTTGACGGAGGCACCTTCCCACATACACCACCACTGCAGAGCTAGTTGTCATAATCTGTGGAAAGCCTGTGTGGCAAAACAGCAAGCCAAAAAACCCTGGGTTTTCCAAACAAGTTACAAAAAAGCAACAGAACTCCACTAAGTCAGAATAAAGGAAAGCAATACCATTTGCTACATGATGATTTGTCAAAAATCACTGACCCACCGAAACAGGACGTGCAGAGAACTTTCTACAGTGCTGAATATAAATTCAGCTTTTAATTAAGAATTCTGAAGTTAGTACGGTAATCAAAACTCCCAGTATAGACCAAAGTCATGCACTAAAGCGACAAAAGTGCAGAGAATAGATTTTCCTGTCGTGAAGAATTATTTGGACTTAAAAATTTCATCAGTAAGGGAAGCCAGAGCTCAGGGTATACAACAATTGCACAATAACTCACAAAGGATTACAGGAAAGTAACTGAATGCATGAGCAACAGAGCTGTCTATCTGTTTCTGTCTTGCTCTCAGAAAATGACCATATTTAATAATTTTGCTTGAACTTTTGCAGCCAATATTGCAAACTACCAAGATTTTAGCTAGGAAACAAGCTCAAAATCTTAAAAAGCTTAAACACTGAGTGAACTCACTGGTAAAGCATTTCAAGCTTTACCCTTTACCCTTAAATCTTATTAGAATCAAGTTGATCTCTCAAAAACCCTAACCCTCTCCTCTCCTGACTCTCAGAATTAATTTCAGCTATTTATAAGTAAGGAAAGAAAAACAAATTAATGCAGAGAACTTGGTACTGTTTCTGCCCAGCACCAGGAGGAATG